TTCCACATGTTTGACAAGGACAAGAAAGGGTTTATTACTATACTGGATGTGCAGCGTGTCTTGGAGGTAATGTTTCCTTGTGTTCTTTCAGTTTCCTTTTTAAGCCTCTTATCTAAATTTCAGAGTGTGGCATGAATAGTGCTGAACAATCCAGCTGACATACTTCTGTGCTTTTTTTGTGTCTAGAGCATCAGCGTGCAAATTGCTGAAAATACACTTCATGATATTCTCAATGAAGTGGATCTGAACAAAAACGGGCAGGTGGAGCTCATTGAGTTTTTGCAGGTAGGTGTTTCTTTGTTACAAGGGAAGCTGTAATTTTAATGAGCTGAGGCATAGGTATTTAATCTTTTTCCCCTTTGCTGAAGGGCTGGGTTGGAGCCCAGGTGAGCGTTATTGGGTAAACACTGTAGTGTCGATGCTGTTTGCCAGATCACCAGATAGGTGACAAACACCACCATCCTCAAGCAACTTCAAAATTCAAGGATTTTGGGTTTTTTCCTGCACAGAAACTATGAGACCCAAAGAAAAGGCTCAGTTTACCAAGTATACCACAGTATAGAACTGAATTGGCCTTTTTTAATACAGAAATGCTGTTTAAATATATACAAAATGAAAATTATATACAAAATGATACAATTATCTCTTGGAAGGTATATGGCACGGTCGTGTGTGCTGACTTTTTTCTGAGTCTGTTAAGTGATCAGTAGTTTCTAAACTGTATTTTAAAGAATGAGCTTGTGGTTAAAGCACATGCAGTCCATCTAATCCCCTTTTAACTCCTGGCTGGCTCCTGTTATCTCTGTTTCTATGAAGGACGTGACGTTGACAGGCCATATGTTTTGCAGGGCTTTGAAATAAAATGAAGGGTGCTGCTGCAACGTTTGCTCGCCCAGCTCCTCTTGCACGTGCTGTTTGCCAGCCAGCTTTGTTTTTGCAGAGTCTTTCTTGGTGTGGTATTTCGAGTGACTGCCACGTCTTTCCTGCACGGTGGCAATGATGAATGCCGAACATGAGATAAATTAATGCTGGGGATTTTGGTCAATGTCAGCCCTTTCTTCACTGTGTCAAGTTAAACAAACAAGATCAAGGCAAAGGAAATGGTAATTGTCTCTCTCGAGATGAGCTGTAGATAAGAGCAGCATTGTTGAATCTAAATGCAGAAAATTTTCACAGGTTGTGTCCAGCATTAGAAAAAAGGACTATTTATTGACCTAAAATGCAGCAATTTAGCTGAGTAACTGCAACGCACTTGAGGGAAGCGGGTGAAAAAACAAACCCCAAACCAGCTTGGGGGGGTGAAAGAAGAAACACCGGCTTTGGGAGTTTGTGCTTATGTATTCAAAGATAAGAGAAAAATCACAGTGTTCTTCTGGCTGTTGGAAAGGGTCTACATCTTACACCCCTTCGCAGGTGAAAACTTGGTGGGGGGGGGGAACCCACCCTCTACTATTACCCTATAATTTGGTTTGGATACATTGTGGTTAAGAAGTTGAAACAACCAGTAACCAGTCTTCTGTGGATTTTTTGGTGGCTTTCTGGGTGGGTTTTTTTTGCTTTACTGTGCTGAATACTCTCATTAGAGGTTGCCTGCCCTAGGTCCGTAATATCTGTAAAATATAAAAGGCAAGTCACTGGTTTGGTGTAGTTTCAGTTACTTTTCTAAAACCGTGTAACTCTGGCTACTGGCTTCTCCTGCACATTCCATGATGGAATCTAAATATTTAGCGCCAGGAAAAAAAAGTAGCCATGGCTCGTGCCTCTGCACCACCCTCCTGCAGCGGCACAGCGCGGCGCGGGGAGCTGCTGCGGAGCCAAGCGCTCCGTAGGAAGCGTGGTAACAAAATTAACAGGAGGTTGCCATGGAAGGAACAAAATACATTAAATGTTTGTTTAATTTTTTTTAAATGGATCTGTTAAGTCAGTTCCCAGTACTTTTCGTGTTTGCTTGCTGAAAACTTTCAAGTAATTGCGTTTTACCGCAGAATGCTTGTGGAAAGCCATGTGCAAATATTTGTGGACGTTTATATTAGAATATAGGAACATGTTGTACCAGGACGGCTGCGTAGCTCTCCGGGTGGGGAGCAGAGCAATGCCAAGTGCTTTCATTTGGCCAACTGCAGATTGCCAGCGTAACTCAAATAATGGTCCCGTGAGAACTGGTCCCAGCAGGCACCGATGCTTACAGGTGTTTCGCAAAGAGAAGGCAGAGGGTGTTGAGCAGCGTTGAACACAAACAGGTCTCTCCACCAGGGCAGGGAGGCAGAGCCAGGACAGCGTTTAGGGGCTCACGGAGCTGCCTTATGGCAGTGCCTGCTCTTCTGGAGACCAGCACGCCTAGCGCTGCGGTCGTTTATGCTCGAGAAAGGAGGGGCACCTTGGGAACTGGTGGTGGTATGTAAAGGCAAAAAACCTCCATGTTGGATCAGGAGGAAGCTTTCTTTCATAGGGATTGCTCCGGGAGCAGGGAGGGAGGCGAGGGAGAACGCCAAGCCCCAGCGTGGTGGACCTTCCTTGCTGGTGGTAGCTACTGCTCTCACTGCTGCTGGTCCTCCCCTTCCTGACTCCGTCCTCTGCCTCGCCTCAGGGCTGCACAGGGTAACGAAAACGCCTTCAAATGCAGGGAAGTTTTTCCAGCCTCACCTGGGTCTGTAAAGCACGGGGTTCCCTCCTCTGCTGGGTGCTCGTCTCAGCTTTGACAGGGTTGATGCCACATTTGCATAGGTTGAGCTGCAGATGTAATTAATAGATTTTCCTATGGAAGGGAAGAAATCTGAAGGATTCTTAGCGCTCAATGGGAGTAAGAAATTGCGTTTCGTAAGTGCCGATTGCTTTCCGTAGTAGTCTTTGGCAAGCTGACTGCATGTAATTTCAAGTCTAATGCTCACTTTATCCATGGGATAAAAAAGAATTAACTAAAACCTTAGCACTAGTGTGTGTTCGTTAAGATGGAGCTGAGTCCAGTTTCAAGGACTTAAAGGCAAATTAGTTTTAAAAGTCTATAAAGGAATTTGGATTTGAAAGAATTGTGAAGTCAAGTGCGCTATCTCTGCAAGGAAGGGCATGTGAATGAAAAAGGATATGGGCTGGGGTCAGTGGTGGATCAGGAATGGTGTTCTATTAGTTACGTCTTTCAGATATTTAAAGAAAAAAACACAAAACACTCGTGAAATAAATGGGTTCTCCCACATTCTTAAATGGAATCAACACTGGAAACACCCTGGTGTTGATGGTTGCCTACACCATTACTTCCAAACGGACTGTATTTGGTACTTCTGCTCTTCCGGCCACCTATGCTTTGCCAAAGCCTTCGTTGGTATTTCTGGAAAATGTAAATGAGCTTTGCGGCAAGTCTTTGAAACCACACAGCACTTTGGCTTGATATATGGGAAAAACAATTCTGTGTATTCATTAGTTGTTGTGTCCAAGAGCCAGTAGTGAGTGTGACCTCGGCCGTTTGGACTGGAACTGGGACAGTGTCCTCCGCCGGTGGCAGGACAGCAGCCGTGCCCGCGCAGAGTTAACAGCCCCGAGCTGCAGGACTGCTGCGGTTCTGTGCCCTGTGAGCTGTGTTGGTGGGGGCCTTCGTGGCGCCTGCTCGGGGACTGGTACCAGCTGCTGTCCCTCTGGCTGCTTACTGGGGGCTCTCCGTGAGGGGCTGTACCGTCCCCCGCTGTTGTTTGTCTTGCCCGTGGGTTAACAGGACGCTCTCCTGCTTGTGTCTTAAGCTGATGAGTGCTATTCAGAAGGGCCACGTGTCTGGAAGTCGGCTGGCCGTGCTCATGAAGACTGCCGAGGAGAACCTGCGTCAGAGGGGGGTCATTCCGGTGGACCGGAGCGGTGGTGGACTGTGAGTTCAAACACGACGGCTGCGTGGGGACGCGTGGCTGCGCCTCGCCGCGGGAAAACATTCCAGTGCTTCGGATTCTCCTTGCTTGGTCCAGATGACCAGTATCTGTCCATCGGTGTAGCCCTTACAGAAACACGTTGGTGCGTTTGTTATCGTTATTAATGGTTTCCTGTGCAGCTCTTAATACTCCAGTACGTGGCCTTTTGGATTGGGCATTCTTGAGACGCAGGGGTTAATTACCAGGAGTTGAGGAATACAGCCTAGAGAGGTTTGAGTGCACACACTGCCCTGTTCCTTAACTTTCATATTGCCTTCACCTTTAAAGAAAACGATGCTCAGAGAGCGATTCCTGCCTTGGAACGCGTGGCGCCGAGTTTTGCATGGGTCAGTATTTAAAAGCTGCTAATCCATCCTCCTCAGCAAAGAGCAAGAGAGGGAAAGCAGATGTTCCGGGTTGGAGACAGTATCACAGAAGGAACAAAACTGACCCTTCCTGAGGTCGGCATCACGGTGAAGAGCTGTCGTGAGCCTTCCAGAGGTGGTGGGGTTTGCTCTTCCAAGTACTCTGTTATTTCAGTGGTACCAACACTTGGCCAGACAAAAATGTCAGCAGCTGGAAAACTGTAAGACATCTTGATTAATCACCCAAGCTAATAATTTAGTTAAAAGCTGGGGGACAGCTTTCCTTTCTCCCGTATTAATAAAAATAAGCTTCCTTTTAATAACCAGCATTGTCTCGCAGGTGGTGGTTTGTGCTGTGAAGCGCTTCATACTGTTTCCAGTTTTGGACAAACACTGTTGATATGTGGAATATGGCAGTTTTGGGTAGTGTGAGTGTTAATTGTTTATTTAAAAATTCTCAAACAGAAAGTGAAACAATGAAATTCGGTTTGCATTCCACTAACTTTTCTAGAAAAGGGGCTATTTTTCAGCAGCTTAATGAAAAAACTAAAGAAAAATAAAAATAGGACCACTCACTTGAGCTGTTTTCAGCACTTGTATCTGGCTATTTGCCTTCCTGCTCTTAGGTTGACCCAGTTCAAGATCAGATGGAAGATTTCTGCCTAACGTAGAGCAAGGAAGGGAAAAACATAACAATGGTTTATTGATTAATTTGTCATTCTGTTATAGTCTTGGAGTATAAACACCAATTTACAACTTAAAACAAGCTTCAGTTCCAAGGTGTCAGAATTTCTACTTGTGTAAAATCTGATATATTTTAACTGATGTCACTACTTTCACTAATGGAAAATAACAGTACAGTAATGAACAGCCAAGATTACTTTCGTATTTTAAAAGGGAAAATGATTACAAACACAAAACAGAGATGCTGAGAAGCGTTAGTATGCAGCATAGTAAGCACAGATGTGTTTAGCTGAAGAGGCAGAGTCCTTTAAAAAAAAAAAGTCAGGTGTTTAAAAATAGTAGATACCAAAAAACCCCAGCAAGTCTCATTTAAAATTCAGTAAGTGATTTTATTTGTCAGTCCAAACAATTAGCAAAATCTGGAGGGAAGGTCTCGGTCTTGGGTGAAATGACTTTCAGATGGTTTTTGCATGTTAGATTTTTTTTTTGATGCTGCTGTGTACCAAAATGCAGATATTGTTAAGGGGTTATTATGGCTTTTTTGCTTCGAGGCACAGTCTGTGTGAATGAGGAGTCCGACAACGTAAGGATTTTTTTTTATCAGCAAAGGAGTTTGTTTCTGTGGTCCTGTAAACTTTTCTTTTCTAAAAATATTTTCCAGTATATTCAGCTAAAGTATGTAAACATTTGACATACTTTTTATTTCCAAAACCCTTTTCACAAAAGACCACGGTAACAGGTTTTACATGTACTGCAGAATTGGAGGGACGTGGCTGTACGATACGCAGGTTGTTTTGGTCCGGTGAGCAAGGTAAGGAGGAAGGGGCTTTAGGATTCAACTAGTAACAGGAATTTAAGAAAAAAAAATTATAAGCAATGAGACCTTTTCCAGGCCACATAAAGAAAAATATTTAAATTTATTTAACATCTTTTGTATGGTTTAAAGAAAAATTCTCCTCCACTCCTCTATAAGCGGCGCTGTTAAGGATTAATAATACAAGTTCACCTGTAAAGCCAGGATTTTCTGCTGTGTTCCCAAAGTATCCTCTTTGTTCTCTTGTTTTAGTAATATTGCATACGGAATGTGACTTTGGGATTTTCTTGGCTGTGTGTGTCCTCCAGTATGAATTTGCTCGGCGTCTCAGGCACTTCACTGTCATGCTTCTCTGCTCTTTTGTACGGCACAGCAAGACCTTGTACTTGCCTTGTGTAACGAGAGAAGATTGCATGTGTTACTTAAAACAGCTAAATCCGTACGTGGAAAAAAATCTACAAGTATTTATTCATCACCTCGCATTTGTTTTCAGGAGTGTTGGCTTTGTGGGTTGTTTTTTTGTTTTTTTTTTCATGTGAATGTACTGTAGAAAGAGTTGTAAAATGTCACTGTCTTGCATTGTTCTGATCTTAGGTGGAAAAACAGGACTGAGATTTTTTTTCTTTGTGAGGTGAGAGTTGGATTTCTGGATCAGGGAGTTTATTTTGCATTTTAAATAAACTGCACGCCCAGGGAGGGGGCGCGCACGCGTCCATGCAGTGGGATAATATATATGTGTCTATAAATACGTGTGTATGTACACACTGCATGTTTCACATGTGGCACTGGAGTATTTTGTTAGGTTACTGTTCTGAACTGAACTGTTAACTACTGTGTTTGAGGCTGGGTTGTCGTTTTTATAACTGTCTCGGTGTTTTACTGCCATTATTTATTACTTTTGATATACAGAACGAGCCGCATGCATTTATGGAGCAATAAGAGGATGTATTTAATGTGCCTTGTTTTTAACAGAAGAAGAACTGAAAGCATGAATCAATAAAACTGATTAAAAACGGTCCCTTCACTGGCAGTTTGTTGTGGCAGTTACAAAAATAACTTTGATTAGCCTCGGAAAAGTTTATTTTTAAAGGCAAAACGTTCCGCTAGATGCACCTTAGTAAACACGGCGTAATTTTCCCTGTGCTTTCCCATTTTAGCACAGAATTTTCGTAGTTTAAAAGTGAAAATGAGGAGTTAATGCAGCACTTGGCATTCCCGGGGCGTTGGAATGACACGTGGGGCGAGGGATTCTGCGCTGCCGGCTCGTGCCGGAGCCGCAGCTTTTGGGGTGGGTGGGGGGAAATGCCAGTGGCGAGTGTTCCTCCGGACACTGATGAATTTTATCATAACCAAAATCAATAGGAATGAACGGAAGAGATTCCGTAATCCATTTTGATCATTTTACATGTCAAGTTAGGCCGGGGTTGCCGTGTGTTGATAAATGTCCTGACAGGAAAAATGCTATATATTTTCATTGTCAGTAAATCAGTAAAGCTGTTATCAGTTTTAACGCAATTTTTATAATCTCCATATTATTTTATAGGTTTTAATTTACACTTGTAATAGGGATATTCCACAACTGGGATGTAGCTGTGCTGAGTACAGGGTTGTGTACGTGCAGCCAGAATAGGTCCCCTCCACATGTCCCCCCCCCTCCCAGAAATAAACAGGACCGGTGCCTCCAGCGTGTAATGACAAAGATTGTGAATTTTATCTAATCTGTGGCGTGTAAGTGATACGTCAGAAAACGTTTGCTACAATCATCTTTGTCCCAAATACTCCACAGCACGAAAATTGCCCTGGGTCACGCTCCCGAGTTGGCTACTCAGCGCGGAACTGAGAGGAAGAGGAGTTTTTGCAGCGTGGTGTTTTGGGGCTGGGCTCCCTTCCTTTGCACCGTTTCTCCACTGACCGTTCAAAATTTCAGATTTATTGCAACTTGTGTTCCCTGGCGCTCTGCAGCCTGTTCTGGGAGCACGACACGGAATATCACAGCACCACGAGTGTTTGAGCGCGGGTGCCTGAGCCGGGTGTTTCCCACCTCGGATACGAACGGATCGCATCTGCGGAGGGGAGGAAACCCTCTTCGGTGGGGATGGAGCTTTGCTGCTGTGAGTGAGTGGTGCTTCCCCTCACTGAATAAGAGGGGGTTTTGGATCCGTAGGAGTGTTCCAGCCCTCGTTGCCCTGTTTAACCAGCCTCCCCGGTTTTCACACGCCCGGACTGACGTGGCCGTGCACAGCGCGCGGCTGCGTTTCGGAATCGAGACTTTCTGCGCTCCGAGGATGCCGCCGATGCAGCTGTGTGCCGGGATAATCTCTCCTCTCCTTATTTTGCAAATAAAGGCAGAGATTAAATTCTGCTCTCCTGAGCAAGCCTTTAGCTTGCTGCAGTTTTTCCCTTTTGCACAACAGTCTCGTGCAAGGACTGTCACGTATGTTAGATTATCCAGTTGGATGCGAGCAGGGGGACTGGTTACTGTAAAATTTTGGGAAGTTTCAACTGTCTAAGTGAACTTGATCCTGAGCAGTGCCACTCGACAGGCTGGGGCTGGGCTCAGGCTTGGCAGGTTTGGGCAGGTGAGGCTGGTTTTACTCAGCAGCAGCTGGGATTTTTCCAAGCTACTCCCAGCCGGCCCCGGGGGAAGTGGGGCTGTGCCTCCTCCGTGCCCACAGCTGGACCAGGGCAGTGCCACAGCTGGACCGTGTTGCCGCCTCTCCTCCGTAGGCTTGTTGTTTCACTAAAATGGGGCAGACTTGGTTCTTTCTTGGCAAGGCGCCGTAATCTGTTTGTCCAACTGATATCAACGTCATGAGGGTGAGGGAAAACTGCCACAAAGTGAAGGGAGTTGGGCTGGTGTAACCCCGTAGTAAGGTCCCTGATGGAGGCAGCTGCCTGCCCAGCCTCCTGCCCTCCAGAACACACAGCACCTCGCTGCCTTTCGTTTTCTCTCTTCTAAATTGTTGCTCGGTTCATTTTACTGAAGGGTGCAGATTCTTTGCTTTTTTTTTTTTCAGTTTTATTTTTGCATATCTACAATTAACTGATTTCCACTTCATTTTTATGCAAGCTGAGTTTTTCCTGTCCAAGTCAAGAAGCTGTAA